TTTTCACATTCTATTTTAGTCCGTAAATCACATATAATATAATATTTCAGTTTTCTTAATTTTTCATAAAACATCTAATAAAAACCTGGTCCAACCCTTCTTTTCTTTTTTTTTTTCTTTTTTTTTTTTTAAAGAGTTATTTACTTGGTGAGTATACACCCATGCGAACAAGTATTTGAAGGTAGATATAGTCGGTGCAAGTTTCAAGGTAGATCAAGATTTTGGTCAAACGTTTGCCATAAAATTAACTACAAGGGATCAAATTAGTCTTTTGCTTGGAATATTAAAATAAAATTCTTGAAAGTTCAATAGCTGAAATAAAATAATACACCGAGTACTAAAGTGGAACAAGTGTCGAAAAGTACCTAATTAGTTTTTAAATGTACGATTTCCTGGTAAGCGTTCTTACTGATTTAGTACTGCTATTTCAACCCATTGAACCTAAACTCACGGATTAAATTTTTGTTTATACCTTAATATTCCTTTTTCTTTTCTTTTCCCCTTCCAATTCTTGTATTTCAGTCTTTCATGACTGCCATGACATAAACCGGCAATTTTCATTTTGTTTCTTTAATATTTTTTTGTAGTTTCATTTGAAATTATCTTGGTTCTCTATACATGCACTTTTAGTTTACCAACCACATAGGCCTTGCATAGTAAGTGGTTACAAAAAGTTCTCAGTTCTTCGTGAAGTTTTCTTTTTTTCTTTTTTTTTGGGTATAAATTATCTCCCTTCTAGTCGGAATGTCTTTCTGTAATTTCCTTTGGAAGTATAGTATTTGAAAGCTAAAACAGAAAAAAAACATGCTTTTTCAAGGAAGTTTAAGAGTATGATTTTGATAATTAAGTTTAAGAACATGCTTTTTCAAGGAAGTTTAAGAACATGGTGATTGATAATTAAAAGCTTTTAAGCTTTTAAGCAAGAGGTCTTGTGTTTAAACAGGAATATCATTCCAGTTAATATTAGTAACCACTTGCTGGCTTTGTATTAGTTTCTATGTCCAGTGAGGGGAAATGTTAAGACTTATAAATTAATAATACTAGCTCTTGGGTTCAGTTACAACTAATGTCAAATTTAAGATACTTCAGTACTCACTTTGCTTGTGGGCTTGAAAATTTGCCACCAAGCTGCACGAGTGGGTTTCAATATTATTTGGGTGAGAAATTTTAAATTTTAATGTTCACTGGTAATTAAAATGTGCTGCTAATTAGCATATTAGTTGTGCAAGCAAAATTATTTGTTTCATTTCTCTCAAGAAAAAAATGAAAAAAATCAGTTTCAAATTCTATTTACTAGATTCTACGCTGCAATGTAGTGGTATATTCGAAGTCGACTTCCTTGCTTCCTTCATTTGTATGTCTACTTCTATATTCAGTTGTATGGATTTCCATTCAATAAGTATCCAGATTTGGGATAATTAGAGTTAAGCTGTCACTCTCTTTTTGATTTAAAGTCGATCAAACCATTTTTCATGGTCTGACCGTAACTTATTTGAACCAGCGCATATGGGATAATTTCAAGTCAAACCAAGAGCAGTTGGTTGCAGTTCTTAATCTTCTTATGCATTGTTGCAAAATAAGAGAGAACAGGCGTGCTTTATTAAGGCTTGGAGCTCTCGGATTACTTCTAGAAACAGCAAGACGTGCCTTTTCTGTGGATGCCATGGAGTCAGCTGAAGGCATTCTTTTGATTGTGGAGAGTCTAACAATTGAAGCGAATGAAAGTGAAAGTATTAGCATTGGACAAAGTGCTCTTACCATCACCAGTGAACAAACTGGTACTGGCGAACAGGCCAAAAAAATTGTTCTCATGTTCCTGGAGAGATTATCTCATCCTTTTGGTTATAAGAAATCAAACAAACAGCAGAGGAACACTGAAATGGTTGCTAGAATCTTGCCTTACTTGACCTATGGTGAACCTGCTGCTATGGATGCACTCATCCAACATTTCACTCCATACTTGAATGATTGGGATGAATTTGATCGATTGCAAAAACAGCACGAGGACAATCCAGAGGATAAGAGTATCTCTGAGCAAGCTGCCAAGCAGAGATTTACTGTGGAAAATTTCGTTAGAGTCTCAGAGTCACTGAAGACAAGTTCCTGTGGGGAGAGGCTGAAGGATATTATTTTGGAAAAGGGCATTACTGGCCTTGCAGTTAAGCACCTGAGAGATAGTTTTGCTGTTGCAGGACAGGCCAGCTTCAGATCTAGTATGGAATGGGCATTTTCCTTGAAACGTCCTTCCATTCCACTTATATTGTCTATGCTAAGGGGTTTGTCAATGGGGCATTTGGCTACACAGAGGTGTATTGATGAAGGAAGGATCTTACCTGTGCTTCATGCTCTGGAAAGAGTTCCGGGAGAAAATGAGATTGGGGCAAGGGCTGAAAACTTGTTAGATACTCTCTCTAAAAAGGAGGGAAATGGAGATGGATTCTTGGAGGATAAAGTGCGAATGTTAAGGCATGCCACAAAGGATGAAATGAGGCGGCTTGCTTTGAAGAACAGAGAACATATGCTACAGGTGCTGTCTCATTGTACTCCATGATTTAAGAACTGTTGATCTAATATTTTCTAATGCGTTTGCTTATAATTGTATTTTCATACAGTATTTGTTTAACTTATTATTTTGTTCTCCTAGAGATTTTTATCATTTATTCAAATCAATTTGAAAATGATTTTCCTTTTGGCACTAGAATTTGAATTAGAGCTCCATTTCTTTTTGCAGTAGAATTTTCAACTGTCATAGGATGCAAATTTCTTGAACACATTCCTCGTCATAAACATGTCTTGAAGATAGAAAATATGGAATGGGAACATTTTTGTGAGTGGGAAGTTTATGCAACATAAAATTTGCTGGCTGTGCATTGTTTGAAAGTGTGGTTTGATAGGATTCATACAAAAAGAATAACTATTAAGGTTTTCCGATTTCATGATTTTGTTCTTTGTTTCTGTACTTTTTCCATTTTCTTGTTTTGCTTGCTTTAGATAGCATATATATTATTTTTTGCATGTTCCCTATGAATTTTTCATATATATATCTATGTATATATTTCGTGGTTTCTGATTTTAAAACTATCAGTGAAGACAATTCATTTTTGGGGATGATGCAGGTACTTGGAATGGAACTGGTGGCTTCAGATGGTGGTGAACGAATCGTTGTCTCTAGACCAGCTCTTGAAGGTTTGGAAGATGTAAAGGAAGAGGAGGATGGGTTGGCATGCATGGTGTGCAGAGAGGGCTATAGTTTGAGGCCTACTGACTTGCTGGGTGTCTATTCATACAGCAAGAGGGTTAACCTGGGCGTTGGGATTTCAGGAAGTAGTCGTGGGGAGTGTGTTTATACGACCGTGAGTTACTTCAATATTATCCATTATCAGTGCCATCAAGAGGCCAAAAGGACAGATGCTGGTTTGAAAATCCCAAAGAAAGAATGGGAAGGAGCAACACTCAGGAACAACGAATCCCTCTGCAATTCCTTGTTCCCTGTGAGAGGTCCGTCTGTCCCGTCAGCACAGTATATGCGTTATGTTGACCAGCATTGGGATAACCTAAATGCTCTTGGTCGTGCTGATGGAAACCGACTTCGGCTCTTGACTTATGATATTGTTCTGGTATGGTTCTTGCCTGTTGTCAGTTGTGAATTGTTTTTTAGTTCACTTGGAAACTTTTCCTTTCCTGAATTAGCTTCTCCCTTATTATGATTTACGTTTTCTGTTTTTATTTTTTTTTCTGTAGATGTTGGCTCGATTTGCCACTGGAGCATCATTCAGTGCTGAAAGCAGGGGTGGTGGCAGAGAAAGCAATTCCAAGTTCCTTCCTTTCATGCTTCAAATGGCTCGTCACCTACTGGATCAAGGGAGCCCATCTCAACGTATTACAATGGCTAAGTCCGTTTCAATCTATTTGTCCTCGTCCATTGGAGACTTGCGACCATTCTCTCCAGGATCACAACCTTCAGCTGCTACTGAAGAAACTGTTCAGTTTATGATGGTGAACTCGCTTCTTTCCGAGTCTTATGAATCATGGTTGCTTCATCGCCGTGCATTCCTACAGCGTGGGATATTCCATGCGTACATGCAGCATACTCATAGCAGGTCAACCAATCGCTCATCAGCCAGTTCAACATCTAAAATGGAATCAGGAAGTAATAGCCCAAACACGGAGGCAGAAGAAGCCAATGATTTATTGGCTACCATTAAGCCAATGCTAGTCTACACTGGCCTGATTCAGCAACTGCAACATTTCTTCAAAGTAAAAAAATTGCCAAATATTGCGTCCTGCCCAAAAGAAGGAACATCTACATCTACATCTGCCACTGCAACGGGTGAGGAAAGCGAGACCCAAAACCTGGAAGGTTGGGAGGTGGTGATGAAAGAGCGACTTAACAACGTAAAAGGAATGGTCGGGTTCTCGAAAGAGTTGCTAACATGGCTAGAGGAAATGAACTCTGCTACTGATCTGCAGGAGGCATTCGACGTAATTGGAGTTTTGGCTGATGTATTATCCGACGGAATTAGCCGCTGCGAGGACTTTGTACATGCTGCAATCAATACCGGAAAAGGCTGATTAATCCGACCAACCAGGGGGGTGGGGATGCTCTGGAGCTGAGCTTTTTTGTTACATGACGACAGTGAATACCACGGGATGTATGGTGTTGTTCAGATCTTTGTGCCATTATTGGACTTTTCTTTTCAAATATGGATCTTCATATACACTCAGCTCCCCGGGTAATCAAATATATATTTCTCTTTTCCCCCCATATTTCTGGTGTTTTACTGTGCCCAAATTTTTAGTCTTTTAGGCACATCATGATTACCGATTCTTACTTCCAGTCGTTTCAATAATTTGAAGGGGCCTGTGTGATCGTGATGGATCATTTTTTTAAAATTTTGAACGAAAATTAAGATCATAGACTTAGGTAATTCTAATTTATCCAAGGTCCTCTCGTATCTCGAGTATTCTAATATATCAATGTGTTCTAAAAGATACTAGAAGATTAAAATAACAAAGAATGCTTCCCCATTGCCATATGATGTTTGATATAACAAAGAACTGTGTCGCCCACCTAAGTTATTAAGCGAAGATCAACAATGATTTCTTTTTCTTTCAGATTGGGGAAATGGCGAAGAAGATTAGGAAAAGCCAAAAAGAAAGCATCTAAAAGCATTTGATTCACGCTAGGCTAGCAATCCTACTCAATTCCACCTGTTGTTCCTCAATTCTGCTCACAGCTCTTGAAAGATCCATGCTAGCAAGAGACATGTTATTAGCTTTCCCGAGTCGTCTCTGCTTTATCTTCAATATTGCCTGCGAAACTTCGCTAATTAAAGGACGTTTTCTCGGTGCTTTATGCAAGCATCTACGACCAATATGAGCTAGCTTCCTTGCTTCTTCAAGATTGCATTCTCCAGCTAGTTGCTTATCAATTATTTCATCAATCCCATCGGGGTTCATTCCAGCCTAAGAAGAATCAAGAATGTACTTGGAACTCATGAAATGCATACATTTCAAGGTGAAGCATTTGTGTACGTGGAGGAAATACTCACGAGATTAATGTAGTCCACTAAATTTTGTTGTGGATGGATGGCTGTGATTAGTTCGAAAAGGATTATGCCGAAGCTATAGATGTCGCTCTTCATCGTAAATTTGTTTGTAGCCATGTATGCTGGGTCTATGTAGCCATATGTACCTTTCAGACCAGAATTCCGGCCATCAAAAACTTCTTCCTTTGACAGCCCAAAATCAGCAACCTATAACATGTGCATGAAAATGATGAATGACAAATGGCGATAGATATTCAAGACCAAAGTTATTCTTTAGTCTAGATACTACATTGATCTTTAAGTTTTCATTTTATTGTGTGGTATCTCTTGTTTTTGACCTCCCACATCCCGTCCTATGCTATAGCCTCCCTCAGCCTTTTGCTCACTTCATCTTTGGAGGCTTTTTCAGTACAGGACTGTTCAAGAATTCATTTCCAAGTGGTGCAACTAACAGCTACAGATATGCAGACAGACTTGAGGCTCCTAGACTACCAAAGAAGATCATGTAGAAGTGATTCTTATTCAGCAGTTTCCCCATTTTTGGAGGTGTTGTGCACGTGTGTGTTCCCCCACGGAGGGAGAGAAATTTAGTTCTTTTTTTTTTTTTAATTCATCGTGTAGTGATAGGGATTTGAACCAAATTTTGGTTGATGATATATGTCTTTTCCTTTGAGCTATGCTCAGGTTGAGAAAGAGATCGAATAGTCGAAATCCCATGAAATATTGCAGAGTGGGATATCAAACCATAAAGAATGCTCTCTAGAAGCTTACCTTAGCTCTCATCGTATGATCCAACAATATATTGGCAGACTTCAAATCACGATGTATGACAGGAGGAATAGCCTGTTCCAGAAAATATAAATGAATAATCCTACAAGCACTTGCACAAATAAAACATGAAAAATGTCAACTTAGAATACCCCTTCGTGAAGGTACTCGACTCCATGAGAGATATCAAGAGCGATCTGAATCCTCTCATCCCAACTCAACACACGATTTTCTGAATCTGAATACGTGTATCACATGAAAATCAAGCAGAAAAAAGTAAATCGGTTTACACTTCAATGGCAAACTATTCTAAACAATTTTCCACTTCGTTCTATAAATGCTAACATGTTTTCCACATTCACAAGAAGACTTGCAGAAGATTGTACTTTCAGGGAATCTGCGAACACAATAATCATAAAAAGATGTCTTGAACTTACTGTAAAGAAGGTTGTCCAAACTTCCATTACTCATAAACTCATAAATTAGCATGTGGCTTCCTTTATCAATGCAGTATCCCATCAAATTCACCAGATTACGATGATGCAATCTTCCTAGTAAACTTACCTGCAGCAAACCAAACAACGGATATTATTATAAAGTGTTCCCTGATATCTAAATAAAAGTCAATACGAAGCGTTCACGCGGGTAATTTCATGGCATAACTGGTGAACAAAAATAAAATCCAATTGAAATAGTAAGGAGAGGAAATTATGAAGTAGGAAATGGTTAACTTCATCGTCAATTTCTCCTCCATTTTCTGAGAAATAATCCTAAAAAAGGTTTCCTTTACACAAGTATAGCGATATCCTAGCAAATATTGGGTCCTTGATATCCACAGTCTCCAAACCAATTTACGTGCACCTCGAGTAATCTCACAAGACAAGACAGATAGGGGACTTTTTTCCTGTTTCTTCTCCTTGAGCCGCACTAGCCCGGAAATCTTGAAAGGAAAGGAACTAGTGCTACACTGGCAACCACACCCTCCGAATAGTCCTATTTTTCCTCCACGTCAATAAGGGGGTCAATAAGGGGGGGATAAGAGATCTTCAGTGTCACCTTGAGGTAAGCCCACCAAAGCGGGATTGGGATTGAATCGTTTAGGCTTTAGAAATTCGTGGTTTGAGAACTTGATAAAACCATCCAACTCTAAAATATTTAGGATTAGGAGTTCGTTCTTCAATGATTCTTACAAAATAGTGTCCTTTGAGGGGGGAAAAAGTTATAAATAAGATATATTAGCAGACGTAATCCATCCTAGACTGAAACATCGGATTGGTAAGGAAAGAATATAGAATAACACCCTCACCTCCGTCCGAAACTCTTTTTCACCCTGTTTGGAATCTGAAGCAAGCACCTTAACAGCTAGAACTGCTCCATTGGGCATCTTTGCTTTATACACTGGACCATATGACCCTTGTCCCAAAAGAGTAGTGAAGTTCTCTGTAGCCTTCTGAATATCCCTGAAAAGTATGGGCAAAAGACTAAGTACGGGAAACAGATAATCCAGCATAAAACAACGTCCATATTACAAAAAAAATATATTGTGCATACTTGTAAGGGTATTTCAGAACACCGGATGCAGAAGCAACTATGTCTTTGTGGTTATGATTCCTCCAAGGGGACCAAGATTCCTTATGGAGCTTTTCAGATCCCGGAAAAGTAATAGAACCAGAAAGAGATGCACTAAATTCAGTACTTGAGTCCAATCCATTTGTTCGAATCTGAATAGTTCCTAGACTACGCTCATTCGTGCTTCGCCGAAGATACACATTCTTTTTGTACCATCTTATGACATAAAATACCAGGATAGCAATCAAAATACCAAGTGCCAAACCAACAGAGATGCCAATGATAATTAGATCAGCTCGTTGACTCATTCTTTAATCTCTTAATATATTCAATCATAGAAAACATCTTGCACAATGATAGCTAAAGTTTTAGCTGATCAGCAACCTGCAAAATGTGTATGTAAAAGGCCAATGACAAATGGAACATCCAAGTCCAATATTAAAAAATGATGATAAAATTCACAGACAATAAACATGAGTACGCTATATCATACATGAAAGGACCAAAATCATTACTCTACTTCATAAATCCGTATAAAATGAATCATCTCATTTCATATTCTGTAGGCTATGTAAATCGTAGAATCTCTCGTTTCGTCAAATGTCAACTACTTTACTGGAAGAAATTTCAGAGAAGGATGAACATTTGGGGGTGAATTCAGAAAGTATCACAAGAGATCACTTAGCAAAGGAGTTTTACTCAATCAATTTATTCGCGCACTGTTTGATTGAACATGAGAAGCATCTAAACCAAGAACCGTGAATCAAATAGCACTGCTGCACACTTCCAGTGAAGTTGATCGATCACCGATCATAGTAACCAGGCAAAAGTCTACAAATTACGTTAAAGCCAATTTCTCATTAACCAGTACTTACAGAACACCAGAACAGGTGCGAATACGAGCGAACTTGATGAAATCAAGCGAAAGCCACGAAAAACAGGAACTCCTCTGGCCTCGCCTGTTGAAGAACAGCGATGGACGACGAATTTGGTTGCTTGTGATGGTCGTTTTCCAGTTTGGGTCAATACTAGACCAAAGAAGACCCAGTCTAGAGAATGTAACTGCAAGCGATGCAAGTTGCAAAAAGAAAACGGAGGCGAATGGGACATTACAGAAACCGTTCTTGGTGGGAAGGCATATACATATATATATATGTATATATATTCACAACCGGTTCAAATCTTCAGCTCTACGTTTTGTTGAAAAAAAATTGTTTAAATCTCAGAGCTCCCACTAATATTGTGATTAGTCGAGTTAAAAGAAAATTTAAGAACAATTGAAAATTTTCCAAAATCTGTTCATCGCTCACAATTGTGTTTCTTGACTAAATTTATTGTCAATAACTTCCTTTTTAACTCTTTTTTTCTAATTAATTTAAGACTCTAAAAAAAATGTTCTTTGAGCATTTAAGAGGCTAGACAAATCTTTGTCCAAACCAAATAGGCTTGAAAAATTGAAAGGACTATGTTTTACTAATAATGTTTTCAAATTCTAACAAAAAGAAAAAAAAATTAATGTTTTTAATGTTAGTGTGACAGCAACGATCAAACATGTTTAACTTTGAACACGAACCCTAATTGACTCGATCATTGAAATATGATTAGTAATGGCAATCCGCGTGGCAAATTGATATTTTTGTATGTATTGTTCATCTCTTGTTGGTGATCTAAACGAATAAATTGACAAAGAGGGAGATGAAGTTGCTTGGTTTGAACACTAAAGTCTTTCAAGCTCGACTGGGGCTTTTCATTTCCCCGTCCATCTCGAGATCATTTAGAGGGGACTGACTAGATCAAGACTATGATAGAGGATCCCTGGACAAATAGAAATTTAATTCCCTGATGCAGCCCGCCACAAACTTGGACTTGAATTGAAGCTACAGTAGTTCAGATGCAACTTGACGACTGAGTGAAGATTGAGAGTAGGCTGTTCAAGTACAAGTTAAGACGAGATTCTACATTCCTCTCTTTTTTTCTCCGGTTTGATCTTTGATTGGGGTGGGATGACGATGTTTTTTTTTATTATCAATATATACTCCTAACGTAATATTAATTTAAACGTTAGCTAATAATTATATCGATGTAATACCCGCTCCATAGTACATGCCAAAATGCCAAATGCTGTAGTTGCCTTGGTATGGTAATTTATACATAAAAGGTAGGCATTGTAGTGCTGGAGGAAGCGACAAGAGGCAGGCAGGGTCAAAGGCGAGTGGTTCGAAGGGCATTTTGTTCTTAAATACAAAACAAAGATTCTTCCCTTGGCATTCTTGTTTTTCTTATTCTAATTTTGAAATCAACCTCTAACCTGGAACAGTCGCTGGTAGATATTGTCCTATCTGAGTTTCCTCTCAAAATTTTTAAAACGCGTCTCTTCTCCAACCGATGTGGGATCTCACACCACCTCTACCCGTTCTCGGTATCATCTTTACCATTGAAAATTTCCTCCTGTTGCTAATCAGAGACCACCTGCACAATAGATCTAGAAGCAGAAGGGATTCTAATTTTGAAATCAACCTCTAACCTGGAACAGTCGCCGGTAGATATTGTCCTATCTGAGTTTCCTCTCAAAATTGTTAAAACGCGTCTCCTCTCCAACCGACGTGGGATCTCACACTACCTCTACCAGTTCTCGATATCATCTTTACCATTGAAAATTTCCTCCGGTTGCTAATCAGAGACCACCTGCACAATAGATCCAGAAGCAGAAGGGAAGCAAGGTTTGTTTTTTAAGCCAATCATGAAACGAAAAGCATACCCCCTGGGTCCTAACAGTAACTACGTTGAAGAAAAAAGAAAGAAAAAAAGCTCAAAATTTCAGACTTTTTAAGCCAACAAACACAAAATTCAAGAACATAGCAAGGAGAAAATATCTGGTTTAGTATAAGAATTCCAGTTGAACTTGAAGAAATAGGCCTTTATCATGTCCTGAATAGATGATTCTTTTTACATTAGAGAAAAGCTCTGAAGACTATATATATGTATATATGCAATTATCAAAACAATAGTTTCAGTGTTTAACTTCAACTATAGAAGTTAGCCTGAAAGATCAGATTGTTCAGAATCTCGTGAGGCACCACGGTCGAGATTTGAGCAGCTAGCAACCGAGAAAAAACCCGGCGCTGCAAGTTTTGGCAAATGGCATTAACATTCTTGATCATCGTAATCGAGCTTTGAAGTCAGTAGCTCACAATAATATATCAGATTGAACTTGGAGAGCAATGGAGCTGATCGCCATCGAGATAACCGGGACTGAACCTGAACCAACAAATCAGAAAATACAAACTTGCTTCCTTTCTTCCCAAATGCCACCCACATAATTTCCTTGAATGCAGGTTATCACATAAATTAAATCCATGTACGGAAGTCTTGGTGAAATTATACTTACTACTGCTATATCTTGGAAACAAAATTGGTTTCCTAGGCTTACGACCGCGTAGTTAGTCCAGCAAAACAGCAGAAGAAATGAATGCCCGAGTAATCCGATATTGACAAAACGATATACATGGATGTGTACATGTAGAAGTCGAACTAAAAATTGTGCCTCAAATAAGAATGGGTGTAACAAAGACACAAGCATCAAATCTTGGTTTATAAAAGCAGACCTGGCTGTTACATGACTGCAGAGCGCAGCCCGCAATCCAAGACCATACTTTTTTATCCACGTCGTATAGAAGACTCTTCCCTTGGTTCCAAGATGTAAAGCAGATCAGATTATCCTGTCCGAAACATTCAAATCTCTCCGCTGATAACCTCAACAAAACTCGAAAATATTTAGGTGGCATTCTACTAATCTCAACCCACATAACTTTTGCATGATCCAGTTCCCAAATTCTCATGCTTTGAAGAGTGCTATAAAGTCCAATCCTACCAACAAGGAATAGACGCTTCTGTGTACCAGCAACCAAATACCCGTCCAATAATGAACGAGGGAACCTGGCTGGAATGTGTTCCCAATAGCCCGTGTCCAGCCGATACATCATTAGACCAAGTGGAGAAAGTGCTTCCAAGTATAACTTGGAATCACAATATGCCATCTTCGAGGAGCAGAGATTTACTGCAGGCATTGTCTGGTGAAGCAACCAACGGTTCAGCCTCGAGTCATAAACTTCAGTAGGTAAGGACTTATCACCATAAATATCACTAGTCGCTACAACTTTAAATGATCGGTGAGTCCGATCAACAACCAAAATCAGCTGCCTCTGCTGATTATGATGCATATTTGGCAATGCCCTCCACTTTTGTGTGAGCGGATTGCATACCAGGGTTTTGAAAGTTAGCCCATCAAGCCCAGAAAAGCAAACAAGTCCACCAGATGAACCAACCAACCAGAATGCCCAAGGAGGCAAAAATGTGAATGGAATCTTATACCATGTTTTTAACGGTAAGCTGAAGACTGAGCATTGGGGAGTTTGAGAATTCTTCCAAAATGTAAGAAGACAAGGCCCATGTGAAGACACTTGTGCGTGAAATTTAAGAAAACTACTATCTTGAAGTATCGAATTCCACCTTTTACATACAGAACGAAACCTAAAGATTAAAAATGGAGGAACCCTAGCTAAGATCTCATTCAACAAATCTTCAGGCAGCATTGCCCATATACTATCTTCCATTTGAACATCTGGATGAGCTGCTTTACCGAAGGTTGTGACTGTTTCCTCATCTAAACCACGTGGTTTGGTCTTTATAACCTTCGGCCTCGAAGGACTAGTGTTCCTCGATCCTGCTCTACCCAATGGGCTCGTATTCCTCCCACCACCTCTTAGAGGCGATCCTTGATCGGCAACCCTATTATCATCACGAACAACCTCACTTTCCATAGATTGAGAATTAACAACTCCACGCCCAGATTGAGAATCCCCAAGACCATCCATGGCGATGGCCAATAAAACTCACTTATCCACCACGAAATGCAGAACCCTAATGAATGCCGCACACTCCAAAAGATCAAAAAAATTCAGGCTAAACAGCACATTTCAACTTCGGATATCAAAATCCATCTCCCAAACACACTACAAAAGGGCACAGAACAATAAACCAGAACAAACATCCGACTTCAAATTAAGCAGAAGTACAAAATAAAATCGAGCAGAACTTCATTCTGTCAGATCCTCAGGCGAGAGAATCAGTCACTGATCCAAATGAAATACGAAAATGTATAAGTCGAAACGGAACCTGAAAACGCAGAGCAGAAACTTTGTCGGCAGAGATAAGCCTTCAATCAGGCAACGCCATGAACAAGAACCTTCCTCAGAGATCGAAGATTAGAAATTCGGCATCGAAATTAGGAGAAGTACCCCCAATGTTTACAGAATCCTGTTCCTTATTTTCGGGCGATTTTCTTTCTTCCTGTTGTTCTCAAGAACTCGCCCGCTTCTTATTTGATTTTCTCCGCGACCATTTCGCTGAATGAATTTTCAAAAACAATAAAGTAAAATACATTTACATAATTTTCCATTTGTTCTAATTCTCAACTCAAAATATTAAATTTTTAGGTCTAAATTTCAATATCTCAAATTTTTTTCATTCAATTCTATCATAAATGTTAATTTTAATACGACAAAAAAAAAAAGATAATTAGTTTAATTATAATTAATTTATTCTTTTAATTAATTAATATAAAATGTTAACAGTGAAAATTAATACAAATTTAAGGGCAAAATTATAAAATCCTGAATGAAAAACAGAACTAAAAAATTAAATAGCAAAAGTGTAATATTTTAATATTTATAATTCTCACCCAATCATAAGGCGCCACGTCAAGTACTTTGATTTATTATTTGATGGACTTGTTCTGTTTTACCTGCCCCCAAGCTTTTCCAATTTAAGATAATATACTTGTTTGTTTAACATCCGTTTATATATATATATATATATATATATTTAAACTCATTATTAAAGCACTATTTAATAATCATTTAATTTTTAATTTTTAATTTTTTTAAACGAAGATCCTGAACACTACTTTTCTTCCTTTTGTTATCTAATTTATAAAATAAGCTAAGTTTTAAAAATTAGGGAAAGTTCAAAATAAAATTAAAAATGGAGATACTTATTCTAATTCATAAATGACTTTATTATTTTAAATAATACAAATATATTAAATTATATATTATCTCCAAATTTTTAATATTATTTTTTGAAATTTAAAATCTGCGACGATGAAAAAATATATATATTTTTTATTTTTAAATTTAAAAGTGCAAATGAAATTTACGAAATGATGAGCTCAAATATTTCATTCATGAAATTTCTTAAAATATAGTCATAAATAATTTGTATTTAGCAATATTTATCTATTATAAATGTGTAAAATTTTCTAAATAAGGATCAGAACTATTCATTTTTAAAACTACCGGGACTAAAATGAATAAATTTTAAATAATATAAATATAGGCATTGTAAAAGACAAAAATAGTATTTTTAAAAAACCTTTTTCTCGCATTATTGAATAAAAAAATGGGAACAATTTATTTTCAATTAAATGTACTCTTTAGCTTTTTTCCAATTAATTGTCATACTTTTTTGGGCAATTGAATTACTTCAATTATGGGAGGTAGCTTTTCCACACCCTTGTTTGAACCTATTTCTTAAATAAATAAAATTCAAATTAAAAGGTGAATTGTGTTTAATATAATTTATAAATTTTAAAATTTTAAAAAATTTCTCCAACATATTTTAAAATTTATAGATCTATTAAAAAAAAATCCTCTGTGACTCATTATTTAAGTTTATATCGAATATATAAATAAATTTTAAAAATTATTAATTTCAAGAATTTATAAAACAAAATTTAATTTAACAAAAAATATATATTTATTATTATTATGTAATTTTGGAACAACGAACAAGACATGAAAAATCGTAAAAAAATTGGTAGGGGGCGAGGTTATCTAGGATAAGACAGCCATTTGCCAGCCTCTATCCTACCATCCAAACACAACCAAACACGTGTCCTTCTCCAGTTGTTAATTTATTTTATAAACTATATAAATTAATTTAATTGACACATAATTCATTTTTTTGAAATTAAAAAATGTTTTTTTAATCAATTCAATTTTAAACAAATTCCATCTCTAAACAATTTATCAATCTATAGATTTAATTAAATTATTATAATATTAGACTTTAAAAAAAGAAAAATTAGGAGAAATAAAAGAATAAAAAAAAAACAAAAATGGCTGTGCTGTGACGCAGTAAAAATAACGGCCCAATCTCTGTATTCCGCTCATTCATTTGCAACCCCCGACGGACACGTGTCCCTCAGTGAATGATACTGTACTTTTTCTTTCCCACACATCACTGTTACCGTGCAATCTCCTTCGACTTCTCTCCCGATAATTCCCGCACGTGCTTTCGCTTCCCGCTCCCCGCCGGAAAAAGCCTCCATTTTCCATTTTTTTTTTCATTTTCCTTCCCCGTTCCGTCCTCCTCAAATTCCCAATTTTCCAACCCTAAAACCAGATTTTTTTTTTCTTCAACGTTCTTTACATTTCCGGCACCGATCCACTGCTTAAACAATCGAAATCCCCCTTCTCTGTTCGTTGTTTTGATGTTTTTGTCGTGACGGGGATTTGTGATTGTGGCGGGGTATTGGATGTGTTGTGTGTTTGTATGATCTGAGCATTATTTTCTTTTTCTGTATTGGGTTCTCTGATTTTTGCGTGGAGATGGGGGCGGTGACATCGTCCATGGCGGCGAAGTTCGCGTTCTTTCCGCCGAATCCGCCATCGTATAAAGTGGAAGAGGTGGAGGACGGCACCGGGAAGCTGGTGATGACGGAGGTAGCGGCAAGGGGAAACTTCGACGTTTTGAAGCTTAGTACCAAGAGAGGGAACCAGGTTGTGGCCCTGTATGTAAAGAATGTATCAGCTACTTTAACGTTGCTTTATTCTCATGGAAACGCTGCGGATTTGGGGCAGATGTACGACTTGTTTGTGGAGCTTAGTTCTCATCTTCGAGTCAACTTGATAGGGTTTGTGAACCTCTGGTTTAAATCATTTGTATTTAGCTGATGTGAATCTGGATTTTTACAAAGCTGCTTTTGTCATGTTCTACATAATTTCTTTTTTCCTTTTAGGTACGACTATTCGGGATATGGCCAATCTACTGGAAAGGTAAGAAATCTTATTTTTCTATTGCCAGATCCTGTAAGTAACTTTTCTAGAGGATGAAAATCTCTGTAATCTCGGGATCTATGCCATTGTTTTTTAGCTTTGTCTGCTCTATTATAGGACGAAAATTAACTGGCAAATTATGTTAAGAATACTATGATTTGTTTCTTTTCATGCTCTGCTTAAAAGGAAGAAATGATCCGTGTTTTCTCTGTTTATCTTTTAGTACTTCTTTTCTGACAAAAACTTGGAAGTCTGGGCTTTATTGTTTAACGGATTTGGCTAACTTTTCATGGCATTGTCCCTTTATCCAGCCAAGTGAGCAGAATACTTATGCAGACATTGAAGCTGTGTATAGATGCCTAGTGGAGAAATATGGGGCAAAGGAGGAAGATGTCATCTTGTATGGGCAATCAGTTGGGAGTGGACCTACATTAGATTTGGCTACTCGTTTACCTAACTTGAGGGCCATTGTTCTTCACAGTCCGATCTTGTCAGGTGTCCGAGTCATGTATCCCGTGAAGCGAACGTTCTGGTTCGACATTTATAAGGTTTACATTCATTAATTCCTAACTTTACATTGTCAGCTTGTGTTATGGATCTGGATTTGATGATCTTTCTTCCATTTTCTATGTTGCAGAATATTGACAAAATACCATTGGTCAGTTGTCCAGTTCTTGTAATTCATGTGAGTATCCTTTCGAACATCTGGTGATTACTAAGATCTTGAATGCTCAAAAATGTGGATAGTAAGAAAGTAAGCCTTCAAACATCGATCGATTCATTGATGGATTGCCATAAAATTACATTCTCAAATGCTTTAGAAAAGGCTATATGTTTTGGTTCTTATCTAATCTTAGGGGTGTAGTTTTCTCTTGCAATCAACTAGTATAGCCTGACTGGTTAAGACATTATTTTCTCGACCAAAAGTGTAGACATCTGAATCCTTACCCCATGTACTGTCATTCTCAAAATTACGCCATGCAAACATTGTCTTTTGCTCTTCTGGCGGACTTTTCCGAACTCTCTGAAACATTTAAAGGCAAAATAAAGAACAGACAAAATGGTGATAGTTAAAATTACTCCATTGGAAACACACTCTCTGTTGCACTTCAGAGTCTGAAGACCCCGAACAGTTTATTACCTTCCATTTGTTTATGTTATTCCTAGGCCATGCATGTGAGATCTCCCATTGGGAGAGTGGAACGAAGCATTTCTTATAAAGGTGTGGAAACCTCTCTGACGCGTTTTAAAACTTTGAGGGGAAGCTAGAAGGAAAAATCTAAAGAGGACAATATCTACTAGCGGTGGGCTTGGGCTGTTAGCATTTAGACCCACAGTGGAAACTAGGACTCATTAGAAGCCTAGGGACAACTTGGGAAGCCCTTTTTCTATTCGTAGTGTCAAAGTTATATTCCTGTTGATTTGATTTAGAACCTATAAGACAATCTTGAATGAAAATACTTGGGAGTTTAAGAAATGCCTTCTGGTTCGGGCATCCAAATTCTTGTATACCTCCATTTCAAGACATAATGTTGTGGTTGATTGCGGTAATTTGCTGCATCTTACTGCTCTCTTAATGAATTATCGCTTCAGTAATATAAAATACTTCATTTTCATGTATGAATCATGTCATGCTGCAGTTTAGAATGAAAAGAAAAGAGATTTCTTAAATTCTCATTGTGGACTTGATGTGGATGCAAACTGCTGCTGCTGTTCATATTCATTCCTTTGAAGTATATGCATGCCTGATCTATGAAAACAAATAATGAGCCTCGATTAACTGGTTGAATTTGTGTAGCATGATTGATTTTTGGAAGCTACTCACTTACAAATGTAAATGGTAACATGTATGTTCTCGTGTCGTGGTAGGGAACTGATGATGACGTTGTCGACTGGTCCCATGGAAAGCAACTTTGGGATCTTTGTAAAGAAAAGTACGAGCCTTTATGGATTAAAGGAGGGAACCACTGTGACTTAGAGCTATACCCACAATACATAAGACATCTCAAGAAGTTCGTTTCTGCCATCGAGAAATCACATCCTAGGAGTGCACCTGGACAAGCCACGAACCAGCTCGACATTCCCAGAAACAGCACTGACGTTAGAGAAAAATCTAGACCCAGCACAGATCAAAGAGAGAAAACAACCATAACGAGTGCTGATCAAACAGAAAAGCCGAGGACTAGCATGGACTGTGGTAATGGAGACAGGTCTAAAAAGATGTTAGACCAGCCAGAGAAAGCGAGGAACAGTATTGACCGGTCTGCCAACCGATCTTCTCATAGCTGAAACACATGCTGTCATTATGCTATCCTTTCTTTTCCCCAAACTTCTTCCTTAATATCATGTTTTCATAAGTTTTTTGATAATTTTGAGCATTGCACTCTCTTGCAGGTTTGGGGACATGGTGAGATCGGTTGGATTATGCAATATCGATTGTTTCAAACCTACGGCAACACATGTATAGCAGAGTGGTTACTCGAGTCGAGGCTTAATTCGTCGTGAGCAATAAAACTTTTTATTGGTTCGATTAGTCGAAACCGTCGAAAAATGGTTGGTTTACCATTGAAAGTAAAGGTAGGAAATTGATTCAACTCAACAAGGGAGTAGTATAAATTGCTCACAAACAACTAATAAATCTAACCCCTCTTCCACTTCTAAGTTCGTTTGCTTTTGGTGTGTTTGTGTCTCTCTCTGTTACATCTCCACTCTTACAGAAATGATCTTCCATCAGAGAAGCTTTCATCCAAAAATGGTGTATTTTTTTCTCTCTTCTGGGAAAATGAACAAGTTTGGAATGTTCTTACTCTTTATTTGGGAATGTAATATCTAATTTGAACACTGAGAAATATTTTACTATTAGTGTTACATTCCATATTTCGAATATCATTCAATTTAGTAATTATATTTTAATTGTCAAAGTTAAGTTATTTTCTATGGTTATTTGTGGCGAGTCTTTCTAAAAATAATATTAGTTTGTATGAAGCGTATGAACATTTATTTTTTATTGCCTCCAAATGATTATTATCATTATTGGTTCAATATTGACAATGATCAGCTTGAAATGATGAAGTTTGGAGATACTAAAAAAAAAGGACAAAATAAAACCCTATTATCAAAAGATTGTGATCTTTTAACTCATTGCGTTAACCTAAAAATATCTATGAAAACAATTTTTAAGAACTGTTCTATAGAAGTGTTGCCAAACATCCCAATAAATATATACACTTCTTTGCCAAATATAAAGTTATCTGAGCTTGAAATTGTGTAGGGAAGTTATTTGAAGTATGAAATATTTTGCAAAATCATGGTTTTGGAAGGGGTTATGGCGGTTACTTCTCTGGCCTTCCCTATGAATTCTTATTGCTTGTGCAAAATTTCCTGTTTATCGAATTCTTCTAATCGAATCGCCTTCTCCCTTCCACCCATTTATGTTCATACCTTTCTAATGGAACTATTTCGTATAGTTTGATGTCCTTTTGCCAGTGTTCTTTCAATCTTACCGGCAAGTTTGAAAATTTCCTTCTGTTGCAACAGCCCACAAATTTTCACCAAAACCCTCCGATGATATCCACGTCTATGTGGAAAACCATTGCCAAGCAAGCTATTTCTAAGAATCGGCAGTTTCATCTTGATTGGCATTGCCTTTCCCGCTCCCATGGCGTTATGGGTCGTCTCAATGAGTCTATAATTCGCGAGAAGTTAATATCTGATAAATTTGTTCTTAGTTCACTTCCGAAGTTCGGGATTTCGGAACTGGGTATTGGTCGGAGTGAAGTTTTGTCCCAGGAAGATTATGGAAGCCGATTCTGTTTTGGGTCTATGGGAGTTCGTATTGGGTTAAATGGGTCGATCCCAAAAGGCTATTCTAGCGTTGCTGAGGCGGTTTCGTCAACAGATGTGGACGAAGATTCATCTAGTGACGAAGAAATCCAGGAGTTATTGCAAGAGATGAGAAAAGAAGAGAAGAGGCAGGTTCAGCGTAGGAGAAGGAGGCTGAAATGGGTGAAGGGAATGGGAGAACAGAAGTATCAAATGCTGAAGAGGCGGCAGGTGGCTATAGAGACAGAGGCTTGGAAACAGGCAGTTAAGGAGTACAAGGAGCTATTGATGGACATGTGTGAGCAGAAGCTAGCACCTAATTTGCCTTACATGAAGTCCTTGTTCCTTGGCTGGTTCGAGCCTTTGCGTGATGCTATAAGTAAAGAGCAAGAATTGATCCGGATAGGGAAGAACAGGGCTGCATATGCTCCTTATTTTGATCAACTATCTGCTGATATGATGTCGGTAGTCACGATGCATAAGTTGATAGGGCTGTTGATGATGGGACATGAGCACGGTAATGCCAGGGTTGTGCAGGCTGCTTGTGCAATTGGAGATGCTATTGAACAGGAGGTACGTCGATTTTGTAAATGTAGACCCTCTGTTAGGTCTCTAGAGAGTTTAATACACTTCCTAGTTTGTTTGTTAAGATCATTGCAAGTAACTCAAAGGTTTATATAATTTAGAAAATAATTGAACTTAACTAAGAAGGGGACCTTCACCATTTAATTGAATGAGTTAGACGAAAAGGTGATCGTTCCTGTGTCGTTCTGTATTCATTTCCATGCTAAAATGATGTCCACATAGGTGCCTAAGCCCCTGGTAGTGTATCTGTACCAAAAAAGGGAGGAAAAAAAAAAAAACGTTTCAGGATCTCGATCACCTCTTATCTTTTCGTTTCTGCACTATCGCTCCAAAACTATAGGAGCAAGAGGATCTCGATCACCTCTTATCTTTTCGTTATTATTTGATCTTTTAGAAGCACATATTACGCCAGGGGGACGATTGGGGCGTGGTTTTCATCTTTTTGTATCATGGCTTAAGCTGCATTCATTGAGGCAGTATTTTTTGGGGATGTGTTTCTTGCCTAGGCGCAGTATGAGAATTTTGACCGTCGACTTTGATTCTTGACATGACTTTTGTTCTGCATTGAATTGTAAGTTTGTAACCATAATGTTGCTTAATCATGTCAGGTTAGAATTCACAGATTCTTGGAGAAAATGAAAAAGAAAAAGCACGACAAAGATAATGAGAACAATGACAAGCCTGATTCTCAGCTGAAGGAACAAGAGTGGTTAAGGAAAAAAGTCACCAACTTGATTAAAAAGCAAAAGCTTCCGGCTGTAAGACATATAGTGAAGGGAGCCGATGATTCAAAACCATGGGGCCCGGACGCCAAAGCAAAGGTCTGGATCATCTTTTCTATATACACTAGAAAAATAATGATTGCATGTTCCTCATTTGCAAACTTGCTAAAATAGTTGGTGTTTATAGGTTGGGAGCCGTCTTATTGAGTTGTTGACACAAACAGCGTACATACAACCTCCTGCTGATCAGTTGGCTGATGGTCCACCTGATATTCGTCCTGCATTTCGTCACTCATTTAGAATTGTGATGAAAGAAGCAAAGTAAGTCATTTATTTATCATCATCAATTAGTCAGTCTGTAAAAGTTCCCCTGGTTTCTTCTCTTTTGTACTTTTTGATCTTCGGATATACAAAATTGTCTCTTATAACATGTTCTGTTTGCTTGAACTCATCAGCAAAAACTCTAGCAGGAGATATGGTGTCATTGAATGTGACCCTTTAGTCGTCAAAGGCTTAGAAAAGACTGTAAGTAAACGCTATCCACTTTGTTATTCGAAATTTTGCTCGTGTCCTGTACTTCTGCATTTCACTGTTTTGTAGTTTTCTATACTTGTTTGGTAGAAATAGTTTAGTTTCATGATGTGATTGCATTTGGAAAGAATTAGTTAGTTTGGCTCAGTTAGTGATCTTTGGAATTTTCTTGCATTATGAACATGTCATGGGATTTCTTGCTGCATCTTTCCTTGCTATATGTTGTATGATCGATGAGTTGTCTTTCTCAAACAGGCAAGACACATGGTGATTCCCTATATGCCAATGTTGGTGCCCCCAGTCAACTGGACTGGGTACGTTATTTCACTTTGCATTTGTCTGCAATCTGTCTTTCATGTTACTTTCTCGTTACGATCAATTTCCTATTAGAATTAATACTCTCGAGCAGAAGTCCATTAGTACTCTTGAATGAACGTCCCACATCTAGGCATCTTGATCGAGCTATTTTAACTGGGTGGGGTTGCAAAAGTAATAGGAGAAAATGGATTTATGAAGCCTAGGTATGTGTAATATATATTTGGATTGTGCAAAAGTGTTTGGTTTATAAGTTTATGATGAGTAAAAATAACCACATAGTTTAAGAAACCACATTTTCTATTCTTAAGCATATTTCATGTGTTGTATAACTATAATTGGATTATGGCTATATGTCCATACTTTTTGTATTATTATTTTTGAAGGATTGGTATTTTGCCGACCAATAAATAAGACGGGTTTTCGGGGCACGAACTACTGTTTATGCTTTGCCAATATCTCTAGATTCGGTTCTCTCTGGCAAATTTTGACGATGAGTTTTTCGACCTGCATTTTGCCTCCTTTTGGAAACCGGTAGTTTCCTTTTCAGTATTAGTTTGTTTTTCTCCTGTCACAGCTATGACAAAGGAGGACACATCTTCTTACCATCGTTTATCATGCGTACTCGTGGAGCCAACCAACAACGTGAAGCTGTTAAGAGGACCCCAAAGCAACAATTAACTCCTGTTTTTGAGGTTTGAGATATTTAAAGATTATAATTTCACTTTTAGATGTTCACCACTATTTGAATAACTTAGCTAGAAGCAAGCTTGTTGAATCTTTATATTCTGTGTAAACTTAGGCATGTTAGTGCTTTTCCATACTCCCAGGCCTTAGACACTCTTGGAAATACCAAATGGAGAATAAACAAAAAGATACTCAGTATAGTGGATAGAATATGGACCAGTGGAGGGCGCCTTGCTGATCTAGTGGATCGGGATGACGTGAGTGGTTTGATGTAAATCATTTTTCTTTCAACAACTTTTTGATGCAAATATTAGTTTTTTTTTGCCATTTCCAGGTTCCATTGCCAGAAAAACCTGATTCTGAAGATGAAACGCTGCTGAGAAAGTGGAAATGGAAAGTCAAATCTGTGAAGAAAGAAAATGTGGAGAGGCATTCACAACGTTGTGACATAGAGCTTAAACTTGCTGTATGGTCTCACTTGTTGCATCAATGATATCACATTTGAAAAAAGAAATTCATTGTATTTCTGTATCCTCTTCTTTTAATTTCTTTTTGATGGTTGAACAGGTAGCACACAAAATGAAGGACGAGGAAGGTTTTTACTATCCACATAATTTAGACTTTCGAGGCCGTGCATATCCTATGCATCCACACTTGAATCATCTTGGTTCAGATCTTTGCCGAGGCATATTGGAGTTCGCAGAAGGTCGCCCACTCGGGAAGTCTGGCCTACGTTGGCTTAAGATTCACTTGGCAAATCTATTTGCTGGGGGTGTGGATAAATTATCTCATGATGGTCGAATAACCTTTATTGACGATCACGTAGAAGATATATTTGATTCTGCTGACAGACCACTTGAAGGAAGACGCTGGTGGCTGAATGCGGAGGATCCATTTCAGTTTTTAGCTGGATGCATGAATCTTACTGAAGCTTTGAGAAGCTCTTCTCCAGAAACAGTTATTTCACATATTCCAATACACCAGGTATTCACATATTGGCACCTATCATTTCTTTCCCTTTTCCTGCTTTAACAAAGAGGGAAAAAATTCCCCCTCCACCGGAGAGCTTGTATTATAGCTACAATTGGTGTTATTGTGAAAACATTTATGATTTCTAAAAAAGAATGGAGTGAATAGGCTAATAGGAGCTCAAATAAGTGTACTGTTCCCCCATCCCCATCCAATCTCTAGAACTTTCTTTAAAAGTTTGGCTGTTTCTTCTAGAACTGGCATTTTATAAACCAGGCATTTTGTTCTGCGTCAATATAACGCCCAAGCCCACCGCTAGTAGATATTGTCATCTTTGAACTTTTCCTTCCAGGCTTCTGCTCAAGGTTTTAAAACGTGTCCACAAGGGAAAGGTTTCCACACCCTTATAAGGAATGTTTCGTTCCCCTCTCCAACCGATGTGGAATCTCACAATCCACCCTCCTTGGGGCCCAACGTTCTCGCTGACATACTATCTGATGTCTGGCTCTGATACCATTTGTAACAACCCAACCCCACAGCTAATAGATATTGCCCTCTTTGGGCTTTCCCTTCCGGGGTTCTCCTCAAAGTCTTAAAACGCGTCCACTAGAGAGAGGTTTCCACAACCGATGTGGGATCTCACAGTCAAGTACGTGAGGCTATAGCAATTGTATTGAGTTCATTAGAGACTTTGAAGGAAACATTTGTTGGTCTACCTCTACTTGAATTCGGCCTTGTGTGTGAATGGCCAGCATCTGATACGCTTTAACCATTAGAGATATTCTTTGCCCTTTTTCTACCCACTGACCTGTTCGTGGGTATTGTTATTCTGGTCTCTTCTTTTTTTTTTTTTTTTTTTTTTTTATAGGAAACAGAGAATTTCATTGATATAAATGAATTACAAAACATTTGCAATGGCTACAAGGAAGCTAAAGCCATAATTACAAAGGGGGAACCGATATATTCGTCTTTCTTTTGTCACTACAGTGAATTCATTGACATATTCTTTGTGATGTACTTGAATTGGTTTTCTTGATCTCCCTTACATGCATAACTTTTTTGAAGTTCAAGGAACCGAGCTTCCTGTTTCGCTTATTTCTCCGGTGCTCCTTACTCTTTCTTTTTAATTTGTGATTCTCTCTAGGATGGTTCTTGCAATGGGTTACAACACTACGCTGCTCTTGGACGAGACAAGGTAGTTAATATTTTAGCATCCATTTATTTCATAACGTGTAGGCAATTAATATTTCTTCCTAAGACGACATCTCATTAGGGAAAACGAACGTGAAATTTGACCC